TACATAATATTATTATTGATTTCAACAATAATAAATAAGCATAATACTACTATTAAAATAATAATATTTATATATATTCTATATGTGATTGCTTTGATGAGATTGTATTTTGTACAATAATAATAATAATAATAATAGTAATGATAGTCTTAAAAAAAATAACCATTTTCTCCGCCAAGATAAACGCAATCTTGGAAATTGGCATTATGATCATTTCAATTAAAATTGATAAAGACAGTAAAGAGTAACTAGTTAACTAAGTGTTTATTGTCAATTTCCACATTTGTAGCAAAACTAGAGGTGAATAATATATAATGCCATAGTTTTTTTTCAATTTACCTCGATCCGAGTCCATAAATTGAATTGTTAGGTCTTTCAGAGCAAAATTTCGCTATATAATATATATATATATATATATATATATACATACATATACATATATATGTGTGTATTATGTATATATATATATATATATGTGTGTGTGTGTCTGTGTGTGTGTGTCTGTGTGTATGGATATATATTGTTTTGAAATTGCTCTGATAACAATACAGTTAAATTTACAATTTAAAAGAGTTTTACCGCCAAAATGGCAGTCATCTTGGAATTTTTTTGTGATGACGTCATTATTCTGATTAAATTTTTTAACGAGGGTGAGGAGTAACAATTTAGCCAAGTTCTTGTTACATTTGATATACATAGCATGTGTAAAAGTGACTAAAAACATACATTTATTTCCCCTACCCTGATCTTAATTAGCCCAAAATAGGATATTTTATGTCAAAACTTTAAAGTGCTATAAAAAAAATTGCCCAAGCTCTAAGAATGGGGATTTTTTTTCTGAGACACTATATGATATACTGATTCAGAAAAACCAAAAATAAATTTTCCTTTACTTTTTTCCCGCTAATTTCCTACTGCACCCAGGCTATATATAATGATGATGTGATGATGATGAATTTTACTATTTAAAAGTGTCACTTCCGGTCATCATAGAGGTACTATTTCCTCAAATTTTTCCAACCATGGTGGAGGCTGAGGTGGATGTGGCCTCACGGCTTTGAGGTAGGGCAAATAAATTATATTCATTAAAGACAGTGTTTCTTTAGTATGATTTTCTATGGTACATCACTCATATTAATTAGATCTCTGTGGTGCCGAAAATCTCTGATAAAAAAGATCATGAGAAATTTTGCTGGCGCTTCATTTAGACTATATCATGGTGATGTGATGGTGATGAATTTTACAGTAGGCCTAAATGTCATTTCCGGCCATTTACAGGTACTATTTCCTCAAATTTTCTCAAGGTAGGTTGACTTTGAGGTAAGTAAATTTACTATAAAAGTGTCATTCCAGCCATCTACAGCAGGGGTGGATTAGGCCGCCAAAGATCATGAGAAATTTTGCTGGCGCTTCATTTAGACTATATCATGGTGATGTGATGGTGATGAATTTTACAGTAGGCCTAAATGTCATTTCCGGCCATTTACAGGTACTATTTCCTCAAATTTTCTCAAGGTAGGTGATGATGACGATGATGAATTTTACTATAAAAGTGTCATTCCAGCCATCTACAGCAGGGGTGGATTAGGCCGCCCTCC